TATATATATAATATAAATAATTTGATGTCATATTAAATAATTATTAGTTATTAGTCATATTTAATCATTAAAAATTAGGGCCCCTAAAAATCATCTTAAATCGAAGGCAAGGACAATTTTCCCCGACACTCGTCTGCGTCCCTTCCCCCTCCCCCGGTTTCGCCCAAAGTATTCGCTTGACCCCCGATTAGAGCTAGCAGGGAAGGCACGACGCGATCGCGGCGTAGAAAGACCTCTGAAACGCCCATATTTTTCCTCTGAGGTAGCCTTCGTTTTTCCCTTTTTCCCACCCTCCTTAGCGCACTTCGGCTTTTCTAAATCCCGTAAATCCGTCTTACAATGGGATTTTTGTAAATCGATTTTTGGCAATATGGAGGAGATACGGGATTTAAGAACTTATAGGGTTTAAAGATGTCATTTTTGCTGTTTGGCTGGATTTAGGTTAAATTCTGCAATCAAACAGCCCCTTAAAGCTCTCTCGCGGCCTTTGCTCCATCGTGTCTCGCTCTCGGCTCGATCTCCTGTACCCGGCGCCGCATCTTGCAGGTCTGCTCCTAGACCTAATCTATGGGTTTTCTTTCTTCTGTCTATCACTCGCTCGCAACCTGAGGTTCTACGTTGGCTCATCAGGTAGCCAACCGTCTCGGTCGGCAAATTCGGCTCTCGGCGGAGGGCTGGCTTGTTGCTCAACAAAATCCACAAAGTATGTCTATCGCACTTCGCCACAAGAAGTTTCCGGGTCTTCAGGAATTATTTTGGAAAACAAAGAAGTCATCACTGTTCTAACTCATTAAATTGAAGATTTTAAATTTTCATGATTTAGATTAGATTCTGTTTGAAATTTCTAAATCCCGGTTCACTAGATCTCCTCCAATTTCATAAATGTTTTTTCAAGGTCTATCACTAGACCCTTTTTCATGTTATTATTTAAAACTAGAAAAAATATCACTAAACCTTGTTCCCCATTTTTAAGTATGAACTGAGCAATGTTATACTTGAAGGAAAAAAATTGTAATTTTTTTTAATAATGTTGACAGCTTAAGATCATTCAGAGGCGCGAAGATTGATTAAAAATGGTAGATGCATAATATAGTAGTGTTATATATACTAAAACATTTTTTCTATATCTTGCTGCAATTTTAAATCACAAACTAGCCAAGTTAAACATTTATATTTAACAATGGATTGGCAAATGATTTATTGAATGGTGCACGCACACACACACACACACACTCAATTCCTATGTATTTTACATTTAAAAAATAGTAATAATGGTATCTTCGATGTCCTGTTAAAAATTAAGTGTTTTGCATGTCAATATGAAAATTTAGATGTCAGATATGTATATATAAGTGTAATGCCATTAGGAAAGATGCCTTACCATGCACTTTTTTAAATTCATTTTGTTTGCTCTTCATGTAACTACTCTTTCTTCAAATTTCATTGAATATTTTAGGATATGTTGAGACTTTAAGCAGTTTCATGTAACATCATTTCCTTAAATTTTTCTTGCACATTTGATATCTCATATAGGGGTGAAAACTCATCGAGTTGATATCGAGCCATGACGGACTCAAGCTTGACTCGCATAGTTAAAAATCAAGTCATGTTTGAGCTTGAGCTTACTCAAGTTTGAGCTCGAGCCCGGTTCGAGAATATTAATTTTGGCTCGAGCCTGGCTCGTTAACTTGATCTTGACATATATCAACTTGAAATTATCGGTGGATCAATTTGATTATGATTATTACTTTTTTGTTTTCGTCCTTTGGCATATTCTACCTAAGTTAGTGATGTACATCTTGAGTTGTTTATATATTATTGGTAGATATTTTCAAGTCTTTTATCTATTTCTTTTTGCTAGTTTTTATCTTGCTCTTTATTTGTGATAACTTTTCACTCATGTAATATATTTATTTATAAAAAAGTTATATCTTTCTATTTTGGTTGAAAATGCTGAAAAAATTGTTCAGAATAATCTTTAAAGTTATTAATTTATTAATTGCTAAAAAAGTTAAATTTTATGTCATTTTACATCTTCATAAATTACCAACATATTGTTTTAATAGCAGCTTCATTATGTACTAAATCAAGCCTATATATGAGCTAAAATTATTGAATAATTGCTCTGATTGAGTCTATATATGAGTTGAGCTCGAGTTTTGTAGTCAAGCTCAGGGTCAAATATTCGAGCCCGAGCCAATTTTTAACTATGCAAGCCGAGGATTGGAGTCTCTTGTGGCTCGAGGTTGACTAGACATGTTTGCACCCTTAGATCTCAATTGGAAGGGCATCGACAGCCAAGGGCACCTCAATGACAAAGAGGGGTTTGCCATGATTGTAAATAAATGGAAAGGGATTTGAATGTGATATTTTAAATGCTCTTTATAAAATTAATTTTCATGCAATTCAATAGTAAATTTTAGGTATTAAATACACAAATATGATAATTTTGATTAATTTGCATATAATTCCTCCAATACTAATGCTCTAAAATTACTTTAGAAAAAAACCAAATATCAATGAATGCGTTAATTTCCTTTATTTTATTCTATATTGCATTTAAAATATTATTGAATTTTAAATGCTTGCAACCAAATAACCCTAAAAGAGAGAATTGAATTAGTTTAGAAATGCTAAAGGTGTATTATCAAATATTTATTTGTTTGAACTATAGTCTTCCTATTTTTTGCAACCTATTTGCTTATAAATTTGGTGGAATGTCACATATAGTTGTCACATATATTTAGCAAATTTAGGTGTAACGCCACCATGTAAATGTCCATTATGTCTATCTATTCTTATACATGGGCTTCTGATCTGGCAAGATCAGGCATGATTAATAATACCCAATTCTAGCATGGAATTGAGACAATTTAACCTACAAACCCTACAAACGATTCCTATTGAGCGATTGAGCACATCCATTACATTCTGTCTTCAAGCTTCAATCTTCCCTTCCAGGGAAGAAATTTCTAAATCAAATATCTTTCTTTCTCTCTCTCTACCCTCTTTTTCCTCTATTTTCTTTCCTTATTATTTGCATGAGGGCTTCAAATTATAGAGTTTGAGGTGCAGCGCTTCCATGAATCATCATTCCAAGCGACACTTCATTTTCCATCTTGATTTGAGTTAATTTCATGATTTTTTAATTTTTCTTCACTTCTTTTTGATCCCAAAAAACTTTCTTATGTTACTCGAATATACAAGTTCTTAGAGAGATTAATCAGACCGGGAAGACATGCTTGAGTTTTGATTTATACCCTAGCGTGAAGTTGGATTCAAGAATCAAAGTTTAGATCTTCGGTAGGTAGAATTTTTTGTGTTACCTCCCAAAACAACAAAGTTCTAAGAATTCATCGCTAAAGTGGTTTCAAATAGTTATTTTACGTCTTTCGTATAGAGTTGTGATTATAGCTATGAGCAGTCTCTTCTTTTGGTAGACTATTGTTTACCATAGTCTTAGGTTGCAGAGGTTTAGAATGTCGGTATAAGTGATCTTTTTACCACAACCAAAAGTTGGATACTCCCCATATTAGGTTGTTGGTTCCATTTGCTGTTTGACATGCTTCAATTTTTGTAAAAATGCTTGTCATACATTTTTTCATTGCATACATCTCTAGGTGCAATTATACAAAGATTTAGGTCTATCGATTCCTACTTAATCCTTTCTTTTGAGCTACCGTCCTTAATATAATTGGATCAATATCCACGTAATCTATATTTTACTCTAATATATCTATTTTGATATTACTGAGATTGAACTAATATTATTGTTTATACTTCATTTGTTTGGTTCACTTTAAGAGGCCTAACTAATTATTTTTTTCATTGTATTTTTTGGCCATTGTTGGTTCTCAAGTACTCGATGCGAAAAGTTGAGCATTGTGTTATGTAGTCGATAACCAAAATAAAATTTTTTGTCAAAAAACTATATAAAAAATCAATGTTAGTGTGTCATCTGTAAGCGACACACTGTATAACCTGAATATAGTAAAAAATGTAAAAGGACCACTGCATCGGCTCCTGGATGTAGTGCTAAATACGCAAGAGATTTTACATTATGGTTGGATGAAGGCAAATAAGCTAGTTTATGCAGCAACAATAACAACAAGTTTTTATCCCACTAAGTGAAGTTGGAATTTAGTTCATGAAACTAATATTAAGAAAAAAACTTGAAATATAGATACATTCACAAGTAGATTAATATAATTAATAGATATTATGATTCATATGAGGATAGATAACTTATGCATTCAATAAATTAAATGTGTTGGAGAAAAAGTTAAAAGATTGATAGTTTAAATTTTAAATTTTAATATTTAGGTAAGAGTCATATTGAAAATTATATAGAGATAATTATAGTTAGAAATTTGAAAGATAACGTTTCATCAATTAATTGAATTGGAGATAGAATTTTAACTCTAAAAATTGTTGTTGATATTACATATTCAAAAGAGTATTTTGAATATATATTTTCTAATGAAAAAATGTTGGAATGATCTAGACTAATTAGCACAAACGATATATTTTGAAGAAATAATTTTTTTTTGATGAGATTAAATGAGCATGTTGGTGGAATGACTTAAGATTTTAAAGTATTTATAGTTGCTATGGTTTTGGATTACTAATGAAGAAAGTATACATATATTGAATTTTGTTATAGTTTATGTTTTTGTTATTGCTAAGGGTCTGTTTGGGATCACTTTCTTTTTTATGTTTGTTTTTGTTTTTAGTTTGTTTTATTTTTACTTTATTTTCTTTTTTCTATTATTAAAAAATGCATTTGGTACTGTTATGATTTTTATATATATTTTTTCAATATAAAACATGTCTGGTTAGGAATTTTTTTTAAAGAAAAATTAAATTTTTATAAATAGTTGAGTCTACGTGCGCTCCAGTATTAAGCTCTGCCGCCCATGACGTATGCAACATATTCTTTGCTCCACCCGGTACAAAGCATTGCCTGTGGGCGGTGGACGACGACGATAGTTGGCATGGGCCGGCTTCGGCGGGCATCAACGGCAACAGAGGGTGGGCGGTGGACTACGGGCAGGGCCGACAGACGATAGACAATAGCTGGCGGTTAGCGGGTGGAAGGGGTCGGCGACAGGTAGCGGGGATTGATGACTGGCGACATGAATCAATAGCGGGCGGAGCTGGTGGCGGCAAACAATGGTGGCGGTCGATGACAGTGGATGGGGACGGCGACATAAATATGTTTTTGAAACAACAAAAACATAATTCCTATGTTTTTGATGTTTTGAAATAAATCTTATGTGATTTAAGAACAAAATAAAAAAAAAAAAGGAATAAACAAACACTTTATTGGGATTTTTTTTTGTTTTCAAAAACTAAAAACTAAAAACAGAAAACAAAATGAGATCCCAAACAGGGCCGAATATTTTATTTTAAAAAGAGAGAATCATATTATCACTTATAAGAATTGATAGAATGAAACACAAATTGATTATTTTCTTATAAGAAAAATAGATTGTCAATATTTTAAAGATTGTAAAGTCATTTCAAGTGAAACTTTAAGTACCCAACATCGATTACTGATTTTGAATTTTAAAATGTAGAATTGATAGATGAAAAATAAAATGAAATATTATTATAAAATTAATTATTGGTACTTAAACGACACAAATAAAATTATTTTTTAGGAGTAAATTTTAATATCTCAATATTTGGAATATTCATGAA